TCAGGGGCCCGCTCGAGAGAGAGTGAGAGAGAGAGAGAGAGAGAGAGAGAGAGAGAGAGAGAGAGAGAGAGAGAGAGAGAGAGAGAGAGAGAGAGAGAGAGAGAGAGAGAGAGAGAGAGAGAGAGAGAGAGAGAGAGAGAGAGAGAGAGAGAGAGAGAGAGAGAGAGAGAGAGAGAGAGAGAGGAGAGAGAGAGGTCCTAATCTAATCGGACGAGCCCGCTTCGAGAAATGCCCACTGCGACACCTCGGGTGAGGGGTCGGCCTGGGGCCCCAGGTGGACAGGGCCCGGGCCCCCAGGAGAACGGGCCCGGCCCCCTGGGTGGATGGGACCCGGGCCCCCTGTAGATGGGTCCGGGCCCCCGGGTGGATAGGGCCCGGGCCCCCCGGCGGATGGGGCCCCGGTGGATGGATCCGAGCCACCGGGAGAACGGGCCCCGGGTGGACGGGGCCAGGACCCCCGGGTCCCGCGAGAACGGGTCCAGGCCCCTCGGGTGGATGGGGCCCGAGGCTCCGGGAGAACGGGCCCGGGCCCCCTGGGTGGAGGGGGCCCGGGCCCACGGCTGGATGGGGCCCGGGCCCCCGGGAGAACGGCCCTGAGCCCCGGGTGGACGGGGCCGGACCCCCGGTTGGATGGGGCCCGGGCCCCGGGAGAACGGGCCCGGGCCCCCTGGGTGGATAGGGCACGGGCCCCTGGGTGGATAGGGCACAGGCCCCCGGGTGGATGGGGCCCGGGCCCCGGGAGAACGGGCCCGGGCCCCTTAGGTGGATGGGGCACGGCCCCCGGGTAGATGGGGCCAGGGCCCCCCGATGGATGGGTCCGGGCCCCCGGGAGTACGGACCCCAGGCCCCGGGTGGACGGGGCCCGGGCCCCCGGCTGGATGGGGCCCGGGCCCCCTGGTGGGCGGGCCCCGGAGCCCCGGGTGGACGAGGCCCGGAGCCCAGGTGAACGTGGCCCGGGCCCCCGTATGGATAGGGCTTGGTCCCCCATGTGGATAGGGCCCGAGCCCCCGGGTGAATGGGGCCCGCTAGGGTGACCCGCTTGCTTCGCAACGCGAATAAGGGGTATTTTCGATCGGTGGGCGTTTGGTTGGTCTTGTGTCTGTGGGTTATGTATCCATTACGGTCGATTGCCTTTTGACGGCTAAGCATTTTGGTTTTGGGAAAAAATATCCATCGCATCGAGGTGCTCGTGTCTGATAATAACCATGCGTTCTACTATAGAACATGCCAAGTGTATTTCATGACATAGGTTGGCGTAGGTTATTGAAGAGTGAAAGCCATCGATGAATTACTATGTAGAGGTTTGAAACATTTATATTCTTAAGAATATTGTTGCTCGTCATGCAAAAGCGATGATTAGACCTTGGTCACAATTGAATGCTCTTCCAATCTATGCCCATTTCAATTGTCAAACATACCAGGTTATGTAGCAAAACCCCTGTAATTAAGTAAGTCATAAGCAAATGCTATTTTCTCCAGCAATTTGTTCCACCTTGTTTTTGATCAATTAGCTTTTCACAATTTTCCCATGAGAGGCGGTAGGTACATTTCTCTTGCCAACAAGCGTTGTTTGAACCCGCTCCGTCTGACAGTCACCCAAAAATAGCATTAAGTCCAAAATCCGTCCAAAACGTCAATTTTTCAAGCATAAGTGCCTTCACGGGTGCACGTGGCGCGTGCCATCCCTGCACCGCACACCATTCGATAGCCCGTTCGATTCTCATGCACGATACTGTGTTCCTCGTGCCGATCGGACCCACGGTTACCGAGATACTGCACGGGGACCGGACCCGTGTCGGGCAAGTTGAGCCATTGTCGCCCATTTTTGCAAGCCGATTTATGCATGTAAAGTCTATGACGCGAATTTGCACTTTTTGAGCACGCGCCATGTGCTCACCACCGGCCCGATCGAGCTGTGACTCTTCACAGGCACGTTACCCATCCTTGTTCTATAAGTTGCGCGAATTTCAGCGCACTATGGAAGTTACGTCGCGATCAGCCGCTTTTTTACGCGAGTTCTTCGCGAAAAAAAACTTAGGGGGTTGCATCAACCCCTTCCCCCTGTGCCGGCGAGGGTTAAAACTTCTTACGAGCGAATTCACGTAATGAAGAAGAATAAAAGCACAATCTACTACAGCAGCCAATAGATGACTTAGGACAGGCACATGGGACTACTTTTAAATCTTGTGCGACAGAAGCAGGCAACAGTTCCGATTGCATATAATATGCTATGCATATTGCGGAATTGGGGCTCATATCGGATTCGAAAGATACGAAGTCATACGTCATAGTAACATATTTCTGTCGTGGTCAATTTGCGTAAAAAGTGAAGACCGGGTGATTACCGAGCTACTGTTCTATGCAAATTTTCTGATTCAAACTCGCTCAGGGTTATCGTGCAGGTAAAGGGGGCCCGCCCAGCAGAATGCGTATGAAATATGGAGAGATTCTGAAAAATGGGTGGGGGCCCGCACACTAGGGGGCCCGCTTTGGAAGCGATGACCCCCCCGAAACGAAATCCTGGCTGCGCCACTGCTGTGAGCGGACAATCAACACAGTGTTTGTTTACCAAACCGATAATAGCGCTCGTTTATGTATCAGTTGTTTAACAGCCAACTTTATCACATGATGGGAATCACCACTGTCGCTCCTGAACTTTAAAAAGCGATCCACTTTTACCGACGATAGAGGCGACCTTTGGCTCTCGATCGATATCTCGACAACTCAAAGCGTGCCATCAAGAATAGATGCGTCAATCGTCAGTAGCCGCGCCATGCTCAGATACTGGCCTATTTTTCGGGACGGGGAAGCACCCACCATCACTGATGTCGGACACTGACAAACGCACCTCAGTGGGACGACCTTGCGCCCACGAAGGTCAGTCGTGTTTTATCAGCTCTGGTGCGATGAAATCCGGCCTTAATGACATGAGTCACTAATCAAACCGAGCTGGACTGTCTGCCAAACAATGGCGTCATGTGCCGACCAGCCGAGGTGATCCAAATAACTACACGATGTGCAGTGACGGAGAGACGCAGCGTAAAACATCAGCCGGTGTCTCAACTCCGTTGATCGCAGAATTAGGCATTGAAAGTTGATGTAATTATTCCCAGCTGCCATTATTATTTCGGTAGGCATTCATTATGTCCGAACTACCTGACCTAGGATAAAGTGTTTGAGTTTAATTGAGCCTAAACTTTTAAACGTATATTTAATGCAAACAACTCAATACTAGCAACAGGTTACAATAAATAAGCTTTTTTTCAGCCCTTATGTAGAATGCGATCTCGGAAGCCCAGCCTTCTTTCCGAAGGTCATCTATATTCTCCAGCGTTGGTCGATAGCGGAGAGGGGAGGACAGGACAGGGGTGCACAAGCCCGACAGCCGTCTCCCTCCCCTCCCCTCCCAGTCTAGTCTGGGCGAGGGGGGAGGAGGGTGGACTCCGACCGAGGGGAGGGGTTCAGGACGAAGGGGAACTGGGGGGGGGGAGGACACAGGGGACGTACCGGAGGGGAGGGAGGAGAGGGTGATTGCATCCCCCCCCCCGTCGCCATCGTTGCGTCGGCTCTAGTCCGCATGGAATGGCGAAAGGAGGGAGCGAGCGAGAGAAAGAGGAGAGTGAGAGGAGAGGGGAGAGAGAGAGAGAGAGAGAGAGAGAGAGAGAGAGAGAGAGAGAGAGAGAGAGAGAGAGAGAGAGAGAGAGAGAGAGAGAGAGAGAGAGAGAGAGAGAGAGAGAGAGAGAGAGAGAGAGAGAGAGAGAGAGAGAGAGAGAGAGAGAGAAGGAGGAGGAGAGGGGCTGGGGCGCCGGGTATTGATAAGGTCGCCGGACTGGGGAGGCTCTCCCCTCTCCTCTCCTCTCCCTTCCCCACCCCACCATGTGAGTGGCAGGGCGGGAGGGGAGGGAGGGGAGGGAGGGTGAGGTCATGGCAAACAGTGAACGCTTCACAACGGGGCAACGGGCCATTTAGAAGACAATTCGATGCGAATTCAGGAGTTTATTGCGCGTTTCTCGATAAGATTGCCTATAGCCAACTACTTTTCTTCCTTCATTCCGGTTCATTATATACGTCTACCTACGCTTCCCAAGTTGAGATGCGATTGCAATGGAAACTGAACGAGCTAACTGTGCAACGACCCTTGTCATAGCCCTATAGGTACTCCAACCACAAGTCCCGATAGCGTGCAAGCTTCTAAGAGCGTTCAGCAAACAACGGATAACATGCCGGGTGTTCGGAGCCTCACATTGTAGATATGACATTTGCAAACTTCTCAATGTAAATTAATCAGCTACTGTGGTCGAGACTATTCCGTCATCTATCATCACAATGACGTGTCTATTGATCATATCATTTAAATCACGAACGTTTCGACTGCCGCATAGGATTTTTCGAGTGAATCATCTGTGAACCATCATCAGAGGTGAGATGTCTCGATCACCGTACGCGACAAGGGATTGTACTCTGCTATTATAAAGAGACCGACTGGGGTTTTCATTAGCGACCACTGCCGCGTGCCAACTTGTAGTACTCGTTGTCGAAGATGACACGATTTACAGCATGTAAGATGTTATTAGTTTGGTCATTTGAAGGCCATAGTCGTCACGGTCGTAACGAACAATAGAATGGGGCACTGCGTTCTGGGGAGTAATAGGGGCCATTTATAACGTTTCAAATGGCTCGCCGTCACCCGCCGGATACCTAGAGAATACCGAGTGGACGGTTTAGTGAAGGGGTGCTCAGCTGGTTAAATGTCGCCGGCTAATGGATAGATGCGCCGCACCTCGGTGAATCCGGGAGTCGGTGTGCTTTTTAGTCGTTTTCTGCTCCAGATCAAGATAGCAACAGTTGGCCAGGGTCCTCGAACCTTTACATATCTGTAAGTTAGCCCTAGATCAGATGCGGTTTCTGTTGCGACTTTAGATCCGCGTCAGACTCCCAGGGGTGACATGGGTGTTTGGGCGGGGGGAGGGGTCACACGGCTGACCGCCGCGGTCACTGACCTTGTGCCGGAGGCGCTCACGTGGTGTGCAGCTCGGCGCCCGCTGGCGCCCGCTCTTCCGTCCCACGTCCTGCGAGTGTCTGAGGCAGCAGCGGCCCCGGCACCACGAGCACCTCTCCCAGCGGCGATCGATCTGGCCAGCACGGCTCCCCGTGCCGCGCCGGACCCCTGCCGCCGTCCCCTCCCCTCCCCTCCTCCCCCCGCCCGCCTCCCCTCCGCCTCGCCCCCTCCCGAGGCCCGTTTCACGGCCCACCCGTACAGTCTCGCGGCGGCCGATCGCCAAGGCCAGCCGCGAGACTGTACTCCGTCGGTGGGGAGGGAGGCAGGGGAGACCCGCCCCTCCTCTCGGTTCCCCAGAGGACGGCCGTCCGTCCCAGACGGACCTTTGTGCGTCGTTCGACGGACGACGCTCCAGATGGAGAGAGGACATGGGGTGGCCAGGTGCCGGTCGGCCCCCTCCCCGCTCCCTCCCGCACCCGCCCGACCCCACGGCGGCGCGTCCCCAAGGCTGCTGATGCCGGGAGGCTGCGCTGGGAGGGGATTCTGCCGTGTTGTCACCTCGGCCGTGGCGAGCTCCGACCGGCACTGGTCGCCTCTGCCCCCAGTTCAGTACCGAGCGGCCCTCGAATCGGCGGCAGGCTGCTTAGCGTCGGTACGCTGCCCGCAAAAGACAATCATACCAATGGAGATAAAATCGACGTTCGAGGGCTATTATATGCGTGCTGACAATCTTCACAGCTCAGTTAGGTACTGGGAATGTCTATTGCACCAGACGTTTATGTTTCCAAATCAAACGGAAACATTGCGGTGAATTTTTCAATTTATGTCTATCTTAATATTTGCCTTCGTTTGAGGCATCGACAACGTCAATAGGATGACCTAAAATGTTGAAATCTGTCAAACGTAATGGTCGTCGCTGGCATCCGCCACTTTGGAACACGTTTAAAGGTAGTGTGCCAGCTTTCCTGGACCATATGGAGTTAATGGCCCAGATAAGGAGAACCGGATTTTTAGAACTTATCCATACCTTCAAAACTCATGGAAACGTCTTAAATTCTTCAAATTTTGAGTACCCCTGTGCGAAATTCGCCCCGACGGGTTGTCGGTCGTACCCCAACCACATTTCACACCACTATGAACAATAAATGCACACACTGAAATCGCTATTACCGATATGCTCATCCAATCAAGTTTCGATAAACCCGTTCATCATCATCTCCTGCGGTTTCGAACACGCCTGTTATGTGGTGCGGTAGACCGCGCCCAAAGCCAGGGCCCCGGTAACGTGAGGTAGCCGAGTCGGGGCAGCGTGCGCTGACCCAAGCCGGGGCCGCGCGTCCTCCCGGTGTCATGTGATAGCCCGGGGCTGCCCGCGGGGATGCGGTAGACCGCGCCCAAAGCTGCGGCCCCGGCTTGGGTCAGCGCACGCTGCCCCGACTCGGCTACCTCACGTTACCGGGGCCCTGGCTTTGGGCGCGGCTTCTGCTCATACTTTGTGGTGCGGTGGTGGTGCGTCGGGCCGCGCGCTCTGACTTCGGCCAAGAAAAATGCGTCAGCTGATCATTGTCGTTTCTGCCACTTGCGTGTGGTGAAATGGGGTAATAACTTAAGAGACGGCTTTTTCATATCAATTATTTTACATAAAATCGTATTTCAAACCATAGATAATGTTCGACAGCCAAATAAAAGAAACAATACCAATACAGGCTTACAGTTTAACCCGCGCGGGGCTGGGGTCTCCAGCCGAACGCGCGGGGCTGGGGGGGGGGGTAAATTTTACCCCCCCCCTGTTATCTCCCGAACTAATGGTCCGATTTGGAAAATTCAAACGCCAATCGAAAGCTCTCATCACGAACTACTAGAAACATGTACCTAATTTAAAGTTTGAGGTCAAGGTCAAGGTCAGGTCAAGGGTACAAATTGCAAGTTTCTACAGTATCGGCCTTGCACCGTAGTTGCCGAAGAATGGAGTCATGGACTGAGACTGATCGCCCAAAACGTGTTCTTAGGCTACCAAGACAATATTCGTTGCATACAATATCATTCAGAGGTCAAGGTCAAGGTCAGGTCAGGTCAGGTCAGGTCACCAAAAAACAAAATATAGAAAAGGGCATGTGCGACACATGTTTTATGGGTCATTTTACTCATAGAATTCAATAGGCACACTCAATAAGTGATATGGACCACCTCTGGATGAATTTCAGGTCGAGGTCAGGTCAAGGCCAGGTCAAGTGAGGTCAAATTTTGAAGTTGGTTGTTAAGGCTTAAAAAGGTGTCTATCTGATGCAGTTGTTCACGGCGAATCGAATGGTGCTATTTTTGTTTCCGTACGAGGTCTAGAACTTCCAAAAAAGTCATTTTTCAAAAATTTTGTGTGTCGTGACGTCATAAAATTTTGAATAACTCCCACATTTTTGAACCGATTCTTCTAAAATTTGGTATGTAGGTGCACATAGACCACTTCTCTGACATATATTCCGGTTTTTTCGATAGACTCAAAATTTTGGATTTTATAATGATTTTCCCAAAAAAGTCAGTTTTTAAAAAAAAAATTAGGCCAAAATCCAAAGTTTTCAAAAAACCGAGATAGCCATTTGATAGACAAAGTAAAATTACGTATAACCTTTTTTGTTACGTCTTGATTCCTTTAAAAATGAAGATGTTAGCGGCGTTTGAACTTTTGCCGTTTTTGAGGCGAAAATGGCGAACATGACGTCACTAAAACGTCAATTTCTCAAAAATTTTCCGACGGATTTCGCTCAAATTTTCAGGGAACGTGTCAAATTGATGTAAGAAAAGGTACTGAAAGTTTGGCGGCGCTGCGCGCCGCCGTTTTTGAGATATCGCAAAAATTCGCGAGGGGGGGTAAAATTTACCCCCCCCAGCCCCGCGCGGGTTAACCCTCGCCCGCACATGCCATTTTCCCATCCTAGAACGCACATGGGGGGGGGGGGGTGGTTGCCACCCCCCCGCGCCATTTCGTTCCTGTTGGAGATAGAGCTTAGCAGTAAAGACCAAAAAGATTCTTTGGGAAGAGACGAATCCAATGATACCCAGTTTTACCTTCTCAGGTCAGTCATTGACCTTCCAGGTCAGGTCAAACTAAAAAATGTTGCTGTTTTGGGTCACCGTTGGATATCAAGTGCGCTGCTTATCAAATACCGATGACGATGCTGTTTTCTGGTGCCAAGCCAGCTAGAACCTCTTTGTCACACTATCCGACCAGAATTTTGCTTCTGAGGTCATTTCAGGTCAAGTTAGGTCAAGGTCAATTATATGTGTTTGTATGTCTGTGTGTGTCTGTGTGTATACTGATGTTTGCACCGATTGTTTTTGGGTCCATATCACATGAAATCATGATCTGAGAAGCTTTTACCAAAAATGCAGTCAAAAAAATTCACGAAAAGTAAATTCAGCTTGCCTAAAACGCAATTATCTTAGATGACCTAGGTTGACCTTGACCCTGACCTTGACCCCTGTGCATCGTCGAACAACATGTTCCATGATAGGTGGGAGGTAAGACTGGCAAAAAAGGCCGAAATCAGGGTGTCAAAAGCTCACAAGGCCCATGGCAAACGCAAGATGTTGAGAATTGGCCATTTGGGTCATGACATGACCTGAAAAACAAGGTCATATCTCCGAAACCAAAAATCACAGAAACTTGAAATTTTCAGTGGACATCAAGAAAGGATAGACGAGCAGCTATACGAAAAATCAGCCTTCTAGCTCAAAAAATGTTGAGTGCAGAGCAGAAAGACTGCCTGGGGGGGGTGGCAACCACCCCCCCCCCCCATGTGCGGGCGAGGGTTAAGGCTCGACATTGTGTTGTCTACGATTAGACAGCTGATAACTCATTCCCGTACGTCGTAACTCTATAATGACCTTTGCTTATTGTCACATGTGCGCCGCATTCGCGATTGTTGCCGACGCCTGTTTGCAGTTCAGCCCACTAGAGTTGTTATACATATCAAAAAACCGATAAACTTTTAGGCGAAAAAGGCACTATTCCAGGCCCATTTTTGATTTTTTTTTGCGATATTAGGTAAAAACAGAAGCTTCTTATCCTAGGAAAAATAAAATGGGAAATCTTTCAAAGGTGGCATACTACCTTTAACGTGTTTTGCGTTTACGTGTGTCACTTCAACTTGGCTCCTGATGTGTCCCGGTTTTGCGCCCACGTGCTTTGAGCACGAAGACTGAGGCGGTCCGAAGTGGCCGAGTCTAACGCCTCATTCTCGCTGTCGATGGGCGCAAAATGACCCCAGCAGTGGGCGCGCCCTTAAGCTCCAATGAACGAACAAGCTGTCGGAATGCGATGCAGCCCCGTTCCATGGCGAGTGGCGGTTCTGCGACACCCCAGCGAGCCTCATTTGAGCGAACGACATTTGAGCGACACATTTTCAGCGATTGTCAATTAAAGTGACTGAGTCTTTTGAGCCAGTGACAATTCGATGCAGATACTACAGCAAAACCAAGCTGAACAAAAATAATTTTATGATGCTTCCCGGATTTTTTCCCTCGTGAAATGTGTCTAATAAATAAATATCAGCGTCCTGGGAAGTAGGTCCTTCGGTCATACCTTGTGGTAATACTGGTAAAAAATGCCGAACAGCTTAGTGAATTTATTTCTGAAATTATTTCACCACTTAAAGGGACCCTCCCACCTTCAAAAAAGTTAATGAATTGGCATAAAAGTGATGTAGCGTGAATCACAAAGAGCGAAAATGAACATCTACCAAATTTTACCGGAAAATATTCACCCGTTTTCGAGATATAAGACTTTTATTTTTGTTTACTTTTTGGGAACTCCGCTGTTTCTGTGACGTCACATAAAGGTTTTCTTTACGTCGGCATTTGGAAGCAATAGTTTGGTATCAAAGTGCGACAAATATTGCGCGAATGATGCGTTTATCTTATCAAGGTCAATATATGATGACCAATAAAGGATTCCAGGACAATTCTTCTTATGGCATTTCTTCGTATCGCAATTCTTCGTCTGCAAATCTTCGTCAGGGCATTTATTCGTATCGCATTACTTTGTCTCGCATCAGGGTATATGAAAATCGGCTCGCATTTCTTCTTCAACGCAAATATATGCAAGAGTAAGCATTGAGGGACAAATAAATGCACCGACGAAGATTTGTAGACGAAGAAATGCGGACGAAA